TAAATCCCCAGCCCCTTTTTTGGTCTTTTTGAGACAGGGTCTCTCTATGCAGTTCAGGCTGGCCTTGAGCCCACTTTGTAGCCCAGGCTGGTCTCGAACTGCAATGATCCTCCTGCCTCAGCCTCCCGAGTGCTGGGATTACAGGTGTGCACCACCATGCCCTGCTTACATACCATTGTTATTTGTCACTCAAAAATAAATTTTTAAAAAATGGAAATAAAGTTTAAACACCGAGCCCTGGAGAAAGAAAAAAATGTCACTAGAGCCGAGCCTGAAGAGCCGCGGTGTGTGGCTACTGTGTGACCTGCTCCTAAGATGTTTGTCTTCTAAGCCTCAGGGAGAAGCCATCTGTCCCCAAGGACACTCGGCCCTGCCAGACCTGATTCCAAGTCGAACACTTCTCAGTGTCTGAAGCTTCTGCCTCAGGGCCGTGAATAATGAAAGAGCTCAAGTCTTCATTTCCCCTTTCTGCGTAGACAAGCAGAGGGGAAGTTTATTTCCTTTGAAACTATTCTTTTGCTGTGTCTTTCTATATCCTACTCTCCTACCTACCTGTTTATCTCCTGCGTAAACAAGTGTTGACTACGTTAGTATTTTTGGGAGACTGTTTGTAAAGTAAAAGAATGACTTTTCATGGAGTTGGACAAGATTTGTTTTCTGTGTTCAGCTGCTTTCCCTCGCCTGTTAAGTAGAGAATGCCTAGCAGGGCATCTTTAATCACATCCTCTTTCCAAGCGGAAGAGGGTGGAGAGCTGTGGGGAGGGCGGCCTTTCATCCCTGGGTGGGCAGCATGCACGCAGGGCCGGAAGCAGCTCCGGGAATAAAGGGTGTGAAGTTGGCATGTGAAGGTCGGTGGCCGCCTGTGACGTGTGCGGCACCCTGGGAAGTGTCCAGCAGGACGGCAGGTCCCTCGGCCACGGCTGCTGTTCCTATCCCGGAGGGAGTGAGCCGCAGGCTGGGCCCTGAGAGTATTTACTTCTCCTTGCCGAGCCCGGCACCAGCATTTACGCGTGGCCACTCTCAAGGCCCTTTCCCCGGGGACGGCTGTCATGGGCGGCAGGACCAGGCTCCACCTCGGGTCACAACCCTCTCTTCTCTGAGCCACGGGACTCCGCCCTCGGAGCCCCTTCTGCACGGAGACCGCTGTCCTTGGACTTGGTGGGGGCTTGCACAGGGTGTTTCAAATGACCCGTGGTTTGACAGAAAAAGGGCACAGATCAATACCAGGGATCGCGTCTGGGGCAGGACAGAGGGAAAGACTGGGGAGGCTGTGGAGCTGCGAGTAGAACAGGAAACGTTTAAAACTAAATCCCACTTTTTACACCTAAAAATATAAAGCTGTCAATTTTCATTAAGGATGAAGCAAATGAAATCTAGATGGTGCCAAGTAATTAATGACTTTTAATAACCCTAATAAATTTGGATTTCATCAAAATCATGTTGCCTATCACCGGTGATGGCAGCAGGACGGGAGCAGGAGGGGTGGACACCTGTGTAAAGCTGGACACAGCTGACATCCTTCCCAGGTACATCAATTATCATTAAAGAGTAATAAGAATGCCAGAATGGACTGCTTTAGCACTTTGGTATGGAGGCCCTCGCGTTTAAAATTAAATCCATTAATTGTAACTACTGTACTTTTGTGATCCCCAGGTAGCACACAAACTAATTCATGACTTTGGCAATCATGCAGGTCTTTGTTCTTGAAGGATCGTGATTTATGTCACATAGAAGGTGCACCCATGTGCCCAAAATCACATGGATAGAAGATCCTCCAGTTGTCGAGTCCCAGACGCTTACAGACTGGCTGCAAAAGATGTCTGCCTCTAGGATGTGGCCCACAGGGACAGTGGGAGGAGGTTCCATGGGGCCCCACGAGCCATGGAGCACAGCCTGCAGGATCCCAGGAAGGGCACGTGCCTGTTTCTTGTCTGTGTGGTGAAGGTTTATTTTAAAATGAAAGTTTTCTGTGGCACTTGGCATTTTTCTGACTATTCCAGGTGGCAGCCACCTGGATGTGCAGTTTTGAGGGGTCTGTCTGGAGAAGGGGGAGCTGATTGGGGTGTCTATCGGGAGGAGGGGTAGCTGGCCCCCAGCCAGCCACCATGGTTTCTCTGAAGGAGAAAGATGGGCCCTGAGTCACATCAGGTCCCAGGCAAAGCAAAGAAAGGAGACCCTCTTAGCACCACCCGTTGGTGCTGAGGGACAATGAGGTCCCCTGCTGCCCCCTCATCCCTGAAGCCAGGGAATGACTGTGAGGCCTGAAGCCTGGGGAGCTGACAAACTTAGGATGACAAGGACGGCATCCAGAGAGCGCAGGCAGAGCGGGGCAGGCAGGCTTGAGGCCACGAGTCCACCACAGGTCCAGCGCAAGGAGAAGGCCTGCAGAGGAGAACTGGAAGGAGCCACTGTCCCCAGAGGTACAGGAGCCTGGCCCGGAGCTGAGGGGACAGGAGGTAGGAGGGACGCAGCTCTTCTGGGTCTTGATCCCAGCAAGGGCACTAGGAGCACCACTTCCGGGTCACTGTGGGGTGCAGGGTCCCCAGCTCTCCCTCTCCCTCCCCTCCCCCTGCGCCTGCTGCTGCAGCCCACCATCCTCACAGCCAGCTCCATCCTTCCTGCTGGGGCCCCTCAGGGTGGGCAGCTGCCTGGTCCGTGTTGCTTCTGGGAAGGACACCACACTGTCTAGGATGGGCTCCTGCAGTGACACACATAGCAGGTGCTTTGCTGATGGCCTTGCTCACTGGAGTGAACGGACGCTTCTGTTCTTGTTCTCACAGACCCTCGGTATTTTGTTGGTGACACATTTCCAGGAGACAGCTGCAAAGGCTCATCCAGTGGAGCCATTCACCACCTCTTCCTAGGTGTGCAGCCCCCAGGGAGGGAACCCGAAGTGGGGTCATTGCCCGGCTATGCTGCTCAGGCGATCCTCAGTTTTGCCTCCTGGGGCCTCCAAGCACGTGCCCCTTCCTCAGTAAGACAGGCTGTCAGATATCTTAATAAGCCATGTAGGGGCTGGGGATTTAGCTCAGAGGCACAGCGCCTGCCTGGCAAGTGTGATGTCGTGAGTTCGATTCCCGGTACCAGAAAAAAACAAACAAAAAAATAAGCCACGTACATGTGGTTGGCCGCATCATGGCCCCGAGACACCCACGTCCTAGCCTGTGACTTCCACCTCACACAGCAAAGGGATGCTGCAGCTGTGGCCAAGTTAAGGACCTTGGCAGAGGATGCCAGCCGGGTCATCTGCACGAGCCCGGTCACCACAAGTCCTCGGAGGAGGCGGTGAGCAGTCAGAGTCCTGAGGTCGAGTCCTAGAAGGGGACAAGTGGGAGACTGGAAGCAGAGGCTGAGGGGTGCGACCCAGGCCGGCTGTGTGGCAGCTCCTGGGAGCCAGGGGCAGTGGCAGGGCTCCTGTAGCCCACAGATGACCCGCCCTGCCTGGTCAGTATATATGGCTCCTGGGAGGTGAGGGCCAGCACCTGCCTGCTGCAGGGAGGGGGAGGTGGATGTGGACATCCCTGCCTCCACTTCCAATGTCAATGGCAACTTAGGTCGATGCCATTGAAAGAGCCTCTTTTCTTTCCCCCCGAGACAGGGTCTCACTATGTGGTTCAGGCTGGCCTTGAACTCACGGCGATCCTCCTGCCTCAGCCTTCTGAGTGCTGGGATTACAGGGATGTGCCACCACACTAAGTTTGGAGGAGCCTCTTCTATGGTGCTTCCTTCCATGGTGACCCTGAGGCCACAGCAACAGGTGGGGTCTGGTGGGCTGATGCGGTAGCAGCCAGCGCTTAGCCAATAGGACCAAGTGCTAGGCAAAGTGGAGAGGCCAGCCTCTGTGGAACTGTAGTGACCTACACTGCCTATTATTACTGCTCGGTGTCCTCACCCAGCCTCGTCACCTGGTGTGGGGACTTCCTGTTGCACCCAAGCATCAAGACCTATTTCAGAGTTGGGAGTTGTTCTGGCTTCAGGGCTCTGGCACCCCTGGAGGGTGCAGGATTGCACCAGCTTGGGCTCAGGCCCTGTCCTCCTGGTGTCCCTGCCACTGCCACCAGGGCTCTGTTATGGGCTGGATCGCGGGACTCATTCTGTGTAGGAGACACCACCTGTCTTGAGCCATTCTCGATCAGATTGCTAAGATAAAACATCTCAAATACAGGCTGCTTTGGTGACAGAACTCGATTAAAATTGTTATAAAGAAGTCAGAGCCAAGTGTAGTGGTGCACGCCTGTAATCCCGGCACCAGGAGGCTGAGGCAGGAGGATTGGTTACGAGTGCAAGACCAGCGTGGGCTACAAACTGCATAGTAAGACCCTGCCTCAAAAAGACAAAAAAAATTGTTATACAGAAGCCATGTATGATGGTGCAGGCCTATAATCCCTGCACTTGGAAGGCTGAGGCAAGAGGATTGTAAATTCAAGCCGAGCCTGGGCAACTGAGCAATTAGTGAGATCCTGTCTTAAAGAACAAAAAGGAGGGGCTGGGGATTTAGCTCAGCGGCAAAGCGCCTGCCTGGCAAGCGCAAGGTCGTGAGTTCGGTTCCCGGTACCGGAGAAAAACCAAAAAACCAAAAAAACAAAAAAAAAAAAAAAAAAAAAGAACAAAAAGGGCTGGGAATGTAGCTCAGTATGAAGGTACCAGCTTCAAACCCCAGGACCAGTGAAAAAAATTGTTGTAAGGTAGATCTGAATGAATCACCTGTGGCGTGTGAATCGGAAAGGAGGTTGCCCTGGTTCCACCCGCAGGCCAGCTCCGAGCCACAGCACGCGTGCCGAGTGGACAGTGCCCTCCAGGTTGTGCTGCGTTTGTGGGTTTCTTCTCCAGGAGCCGGAAACAGGGCCAGTGTCGCAGGGTTAGGTTGGTCTGGGTTTCATTTCATCTCACAGGCTGAGTATATTTTATGAGTTCTTGTGAGAGGTGTGATTTATGCTTCAAGACTCCTGGAGAAGCTCGTAGCTTTTAAAAATAATTTCTGAAAATGAGTTTCTTTTCAGGGTCAGCAACCTTATCTGGAAGCTCAGGAGGACCTAGGCCCTGCCAGCAACAGCTCTGGGTATTTTCTTCTTCTTTCAAAATTAATTTATTCTTCCCCAATCTTTAAAAGACAATGTTAGTGATGTAAAAACATGTCCCTCTCATTATGAGCTCACACATTTGTACCCCATCCTCCAGCATGTACCCAAGCTCCTCAACTATGTAAATAGTAGGCTAGCAAAAGGTGTTTGTTGATTGAATTTTAGGGACCCACAAATATTTCACCAGGTAAAAGGATGCAGTGTGCTTTCCAGAACTGATGGCCTTGTACCTCTCATGGGGCATCTGCTGTGGCCCTCGCCTCTGGGACACAGGCCCCATTGGGCCATTCCTGGAAGCCACAGCCTGCCCTTTGCGCCCTCTCTGTGCAACAATTCCTCTCCTCGCTAGCGGAAGTTGGAGACTGAGGACGGCTGGAGTGGGCTCCGAACCCCTGCTTGTGAGGCGCATGTTGTGTGTCATGGCTGTCACATCTCCGGAGTGTGGTGGACACTCACTGTGTCCTCCGCCTAGCAGTGAGGTGCAGCGTGAGGCCACACAGCCCTGCACACCAGGCTGGCCCCCGCGTGTGCGTGGCCCCTCACCTCCACCCCTTCCCAGAAATCCAGCCCATCCTAGCAACAGGATTTCAGGACAGCTGAAGAGCCCAGGCTGAATGTATGGAACAAGATCTGTACTGAGCATACACTTCTTCCACTTAAAACTTTCAGAAAAGCAAGTCCCAAAGAATACTACAGTAAGATATCACGTGTAGATTTTTAATTAAATAAACCATTTTTCAGATACATGTGTACAGCCAGGCGTGGTGACACACACCTGTAATCCCAGCACTCGAGAGGCTGAGGCAGGAGGATTGTTGCCAGCTCGAGGCCAGCCTGGGCTACAAAGTGAGCTCAAGGCCAGCCTGAACTGCATAGTGAGACCCTGTCTCAAAAAGAAAGCCCCCCCAAAAGAGATGAGAGAGAGACAGAGAGAAAAAGAGAGAGGCGTAGAATTTTAAAATGCAAAACTCTTAAAATTTCAGGATGGAGAGAAGACATTTCTATCTCAGTCTCTGCCAGAACGTTGTCTTCCGAAACAAGATGAACCCCAGAATGCAGCGCCTCGCTTTTCTTTCTTCTCTTTCTTTTTTCTTTTTGTCTTGCACTACTGACGTTCAAATCAGGGGTGCTCGACCACAGAGTGACATCTCTAGTCCCTTTTAAAAAAATATTTTTTAAATTTCTGAACAAGGTATCACTAAATTGCCCAGCTGAGCTAGAACTTGTGATCCCCCGCCTCACTCTTCTGAGTAGCTGGGGTGGTGAGTGTGCACCGCCATGCCCAGCCGCGGCTCTCGCTTCTCTGCAGTCTACATTTGGAGTCTCGAGTGACACAGTAGAAGAATTTGACAGTGGGTGATGGAAGAGAACATGAGTCAGCGGAGGGGCAGCCCCTGGCCGAGCCTGAGGAAAGGCAGCTGAGGGCGATGCCGCACCAGGGGGAGGACAGGGCCTGGCACCCTGGACACTTCAGGCAGCAGGCAAGGAGGGCGGGTGACCAGGCCCGCGCCGGGAGTGTGCACAAGAATGACTTATACACCCCACACTCCTGCGGTCCTGACCCCAGCCCGCCTTCAGTGGCACCCACCCTCCCTACCCTTGGGGTTAGCCGTTCACTATGTGGAAGAATTGTTGTTATTTATTTTATTTTTTTCCGGTGCCGGGAATCAAACTCATGACCTCGCACTTGCCAGGCAGGCACTGTGCTACTGAGCTAAATCCCCAGCCCCTACGTGGAGGAATTGAATGGGAGACACTGGAGTTGGCAGCAGGCTGGAGGAAGAAGAGGGGTGGCCCGGAGCCCAGGTGACCAGAACACACCCATGTGCCGAGCCAGAGGTCCCCGGCGACTCCAGAAAACGTGTTGCTCTACATCTGCACCTAGGGCGTCCTGAAACTGAGGCACCCAGAGCGAATAAGGATGTGCAGAAGGAAGGAGGGACAAGGACCCGGGGCCACAATCTCCCCTCCCTCTCCAAGCAACGGCTAATATGACCTCAGGAGGCGGGTGTGCCTGGCAGGTGATAGTACCCAGGAGCAGACTCACCATTACCGCAACCTGACACCCAGCACGCTCCAGGGGGACACATCTGCGCCTCCTTAAAAGGTTGTGGTGGGAAACACAGTGAGTGCTGCTGCTGAGTGCCACGGGATGGAAAGGCGGGTCATAAAAACACGACCCTGCGTCCTTATCCACCTTATTCCCTAGATCTACAAGGTGTGACTTCTGGCTCTTCCCCAAAATCAAAATCATCACAAAAGGGAAACATTTTGAATCAATTCCGAACATCAAGACAACCATGACCATGTAAATAAAGGCATCCGTGGAGTAGACTCCCGGAACTGCTGCAGAAAGGGGTAAGGATGACAGGATGGGTGTGTCTGATGAGAGGGGAAGATTTTTATGGGGGCTAATAACAATGTATCTTTTACGGTAATACATTTAAAAAAAACTTTAATCATTCCTAGTATTTTTTTGATCATACCTACACATCTACTTCAAAACACTACATTCTACACAATAAATACAATTTTATCATCATTAAAGAATTTTAAAACAGGTAAAAAGTAGATGAACAAAATGTTTTGTTGTAAAAAAAAAAAAAGGGGGCTGGGGATTTAGCTCAGCGGCAAAGCGCCTGCCTGGCAAGTGCAAGGTCGTGAGTTCGGTTCCCAGTACCGGAGAAAAAACAAAAAAAAAAAAAAACCAAAATGTTTTGTTGTTTGTTTTTTTTTTTTTGGTTTTGGTTTTGGTTTTTTTTTTGGCACCAGGAATCGAACTCATGACCTTGCACTTGCCAGGCAGGTGCTGTGCTGCTGAGCTAAATCCCCAGCCCCAGATGAACAAAATGGATAGAGGGAAATCTAGAGATTAAAATGAACTTGAAGACATTAACAAATTGAAAGTTATGCACATTATTTGAATCTTGATTCAAACAGTAAAAATTTTTTAGACAACTAGGTAATTCAAATACTAACTGGATATTTGATGAGTTAAGTATTTTTAACGTCTCTCCCTGTGATAATGGAGCTAGTTAGGGTCTAGAACAGTGGTGGTGAACCTCTGGCACTTTTCTTTTAAGACAAAAGATGTTAACGTTATGAGTTATTTTTTCTAAACTAAAACCTCCATATTCAGGTTTAATTGCAGTGTTGGCACTCTGTGATAAGTAAGTGGGTTTTGAGTTGCATTTTGGGTACTTGTCTCTAAAAGGTTTGCCATCAATGGTCTAGAAGAAGCACAGTGTTTGTTTATCTTTTAGCAATCCATCCTGAAATGATGCAGCGTTTGAGGTTAGCAGGGTGGAGAAAGGGGTGCGTGTCTGAGAAACAGGCTCAACCACCTCTGGCACTGCCCAGAGCTCATCGGGACCCTAACGGAGTCCTCTCCTCAGAGCCAGGAGGGACCCAGGGGCTCGTGCACGGGAGGTGAGTGCTCTACCACCCAGCTACGCCCCCAGTCCCTATGCTTGTCTCTCTACTTTGGAGATGTGTCAGGTATTTTTTAAATAAGAAACTTCTAAAGTTCAATGATGTGACCAGGACAGAACCAGCTGTGACCTGCTGCCACTTACTTCCAACGTGGCTGGGACTGGGAAACGGGAACAGAGGACCGGACCGTGCAGCATCCCCTAGAGATGCCGACCACTGGCCAGGGCGGGGCAGGACTGACTCTGAGCCCTGGGTGGCAGCAGGGTGTCCGTAGGAGTACAGGGGCCGTGTCAGAGCGGAGCCGGGGCAAAGCAAGGACAGAGCGACCGCTTTGAGGCCAATGCTGGGGTGCTTAGCTAAGCAGCCCCAATCCGGAAAATTAGGGGGAAAGTCTCTGAAATATGACTGAGATGATTTCAGGATCATAAACAGCACTACACTATTAATGTAACAAAGGAGGGTTGGGAATTGCATCCACTTGGGTGATTTTCTTTGCTTCCCTGAGCTCAGATGTTCTAATCTGTGAAATGAGGGGGTTGGACAAGGTCCATCACCATCAATCTTTGTTCTGCTAAACACTGATCTCGTTAATATCTGCGTATCCTTCTTTGTACCTCAAAAATGCATGGAACAGTTCAAAGTAATCACATTTTCTCAAGAAAACTATAATCACAAACCTACTTACCAAATATAATTGCAACAGTGAGACACGGACGGATGGAGGAGGCCTGTTGGAGAGGTATTTGGCAACTGGGGTGACACGGCTCTGGAAACAGAAAGCTGCGGGGGGCGGGGAGAGTGAGGAGTTAGTGGTGAATGGGTTGTCGCAGCCTGGGAAGAGAAAACAAATATTTTGGGGATGGAGGGTGGGCCTGGCTGCACACAGAGCTGTCTTCTAATAATGCAAGGGTGTGGGATTTCCAGCAGCTCAGCCTGGTGCTGCTGAGGCTGTGCTGTCCGGCCGCCACTCATAACCACGGACTGCAGGCCACGGCGCTGAGCCAGGTGGGCTCCGAGGAGCAGTGGGGTCCAGGGGACGACGGTCCGGCAGGTCCGTTAGAGTCGCAGTTTCGTCACCCCATGGCTGTGGCAGTCTGAGGGAGTCACGCCATCCCTTGGGTTCCAGGGCCACTATCTGGGGAGCTCGGCAAGGATGCTTGCTGCTCCGCCTGCGTCCCGGAGCGTCTGCGACGTCCAGCGAGATGACACGTGCAGAGCTGTTTGGAAACTGAACACCAGGCGCCATCGTTCACTCTTTTGTTCCCAGAAAGTCACAGAACCACCCCTGGGCCTGCTTGGGCCTTTATGTCATCCTCATGTTGGACCTGTATTTTTCAGAGACCTGCCTGGCACCCTGGGTGGGTCAAGGAGAGCTTCATGGAGGAAATGGCAGTGTGGCCGCTGCAAGTTTCCCAGGAGTGACTGCATTCGGCCGCTTGGAAGTGAAGGGCTGGACTGAAGCAGAAGGGGAAAGCCATGAGCAAAGACCCCAAGCGAGGGACGCTGCCCGCTGGCAGGGGGCTCCATGCACCATGTGAGCCTGGCCTTGCTTTAGCCAAATCAGCACAGCAGGTCACAACCACATTGATAATCTGAAGTGCAATGATTCAAGAGTTTGGTTTATTTTCAATCTGTAATTTAATTTTATGGTTGCACCATGGCTTTAAGCCTTAGGAAAGAATTTTATGCTTATGTAAAATTACACTTCAAACCAGCCCTGGTGGTACAAGCCTGTAATCCCAGCACTGGAAGGCTGAGGCAGGAGGATCGCCGTGAATTTAAGGCCAGACTGGGCTACATAGTGAGTTCAAGGCCAGCCTGAGCTATGTAGTGAGACCCTGTCTCAAAAAAAAAAAAAAAGTAAATAAACAACTCAAGTTGACACTGAGGGTGTGTGAGGAACATTTCCTTTAAATGTAATCTAGTAGACAAGGCACTTGTGTCCCCAAGTCCCCCACACTGGGCAGCTAGAGCTGGAGAGGGCTTAGAGCCCCACCCCCACTGCAAGGAGACCCGGTGGGTTAAGTCTAGCCAATCAGTGCATGGCATTTCCTTAGCCCATGGTATTGGCTGGGCACGGCCATGTAACCCTAGGGTAGCAGGAAGAGGGCTGAGACCTCAGCTGGAAGCAGGCGGCACCCCTGTCCCTGCAGAGCACCTAGCAGCTGAGTCTGTGGCCCTGACTGTGAGTTCCTCTCAGCTAACTCCTTGTGCTGTAAGAAGTGACCCACGACTGTATGGCAGGGCCAGCCATCTCTGTGTCACCGCTGCAGCTACAGCACTGCAAGGCCAGGGCTGGATCCCCAGCCGCGAGCCCTCACGCGTCTGCTGTGGCCCTGGGTTTCCTGTCTGCACCTGGCCTGGTGGTACTTGGGGGTGGGCATGGGTGGGGGGTGGAAGCCCCACTGGTCCCTGCGCCCTGGTCTTGGAGGTGACCCTCATCTTCTTCAGTCATTACTGTGGCGGGTTCATGGGAAAGAGGAAGGTTCTGGAAGAAAGCATGGCCTGCACACCTGTACGGTCATGTGTAGGAGATCATCAGTAAGAATCATAGGGGTCGCAAGGTCTTTGTCACTAGGACAAAAGGAGAACTGCATGGTGAGGATTTTCTAATTAGCCATATGGGCCAAAGGTGAGATTAAGACAGTTGATTCTAGCACTTAAGGAACAGCTGGTTGGGAAGAAATGGGAATCTGAAGGCATAAAGTGCACAGCAGAACGGTCCGGAGAGGGAAAATTGTCCTTGTGATGGAGACCACTACGAAGCAGCTCTGAGCGGGGCTTAAATTAACCAGCTGGCTTTCCATTTTTACTTGTGAGTCACTGAGGCCTGTGGTGGCCGGTGAAGCAAAGGACAAGACAAGGCCACACCTAAGGACACCTGGCTCCAGCCCGATTAACTAGATAAAGACTGTAGCTGAGGCATCTCACTCCTGGGCGGAAGCCTTCCTGGAGATAACGTAGTTCTCCTAAATTAACATAATGTCTTACTTGGAGAAGCCCTTGAGCGGACTTCCAAGGTCCTTGACCGGCCCTGGGCACTGCCGTTCCAGGCAGATCCCCGCCTTTCTTCAGTATTCCCCGCCCTTGTTCTGATGACTAACTGCCGGCCACCCAGAGAGGATCTTGGTCTTAGCCCCAGAGAACCTCGAATTCCGTTAGAAAGTTTTGAAGCTCCCGGAGCCCAAATATCAAACCACTTGACTCTTTTATTTAAGCCTTTGCCATCCACTCACTGGGGAGACTGTGGGCCTGATAAGCCTGCAATAGCTAGGGGATAATATTAACATGAGCCTTATGGAGCATTGTTGTGCAGTTCTATACCAATGGAGTAGCTGTTCCAACTCAGTATCCTAAGGTTACAAACCAGACTGGGAAATTGAATCACCCACACCTTGTAGGCAGTGAGCATGACCTCTGCTGCTCGCAGCCTGGGACACATCGCAGAGCCGGCTCAGCTGCAGCGCTGGCGAAGGAAAGCCAAGGCAGCTGGGGAGGGCAGTGTTTTATTTTTAGATCGGGTAACTGGTGCAAGGAACTTGATATTTTATCCTTTTAGTCATTTTGTGTGTCTGAAGTATTTCATCATAAATTTTAAAAAATCAATCCCTTCCCTCATTTTCCAATTAGTTTATAATGGCCCTTGGCAGCAAGAGTTCTGGTAGGATCCCTTACTATTAGCTGAGACGGAGACGTTTCTAGGGTATTTGCTCCATTAGATGGGATTTAGTGGATGTGTTAATCAGTCACCCACATCTGCTGGGCAGAGGAGGAAGGAAAGGAAGAGGAGGAAGGGGAGGAAGAAGATTAGGAATAGGATAGGGTGGAGGAAGAGAAGCAGGAAGAAGATGAGGAGGAGAGAAAGGAGGAGGAGCTAGTGGAGGAGGCGACCATAGATGCACACATTGTGAAAGGGACCTTGCACTTGCACCCTGGGTTCCTGGCCCAGCTGTCCCCAAGCTGAGT